TTAAAGGTAAGATGTATCAAATTATTTGTCAATAATACATAATATCCAATGAGTTTCAATAACATTTCAAATGCTACCTAAAATTAAGGTGATTTGCACTCAAGCTCGATCCTTCATTATTTCACACTCATTACTAACATTTCAGCACATACATTACAAAGCTGGGCTTTCATCTGTTGTGGACGAAGTAGGAAAGTACGGAGCTCTTGTCAGTAGTTCAGCAGCTGATGCAAGCCGAAATCTGCGAAACCCTGCCAATATAACTTTCTAGAAAATAGTCAAAACAGTAGATTTGAACGTCACAGATTTTTGCATTTTATCGAAATAGATCGCACAGTAACTTCCACATTGTTATATTTCCGGGTTAATCATCATAGAAGATGAGCTGTAACTTTCCAAGATTATAAAAAGGTTAATATTTGTAGTGTTATATTTTCATTCTGAAAAGTTCAATTACCACATTTTTCAATGAAGACAAAATATAAATTTACATAGAAACGGATTGACTTCGAAATCTGTGCCAAATATGTCACGGATCCCGCGAACAATGCTTTTGGTACTCCATATGAAACAGAGTAGATATGATGAAACATAGAATGTCCCATTCAATGCATCATGCTTGGAAAACTCAACAAAGTTTCATATTCTATCTTAGTAGGTATGGGACTCTAATGACATAAAATGCTATGGTTTGCAATTAGGATTCTGGAAACATATTTGCAACCTACAGCGTAATTTATGATATATTTAATACTTCCAAATTTTGTTTTCTTTTACTTCATATTCTTTTTCATAGTTTATGATCCATTACCATTGAATCGAATATTTTCGTAATGACATGTGAAAGTCTTAATCTATTGATTAACAAAAAAAATTCCTGGTATGTAAGTAGCTTCGTAATAAAACACAAGATTACAGTTAAAAAAAAGATATATAAATGTCAAATTACAGATTAAAAACGTTCTTGATAACACACAATAATTTTTTTTACCAATAATCACATAATAAATGAAAATATCTAAAACATATGTGATTCTATAAAAATAAACTACAAGGAGTCATAATCTTTCTAGATAAGCGTCTAAGTCAATAGCTTTGCATCATGTTTCAAAATTTCAACAACATAACATTTCATCATATGTGTCAACAAATGATTACAACTATAATAAAATCTGCAAATATTTGATAACGTAAGAATTTAGAAAATTAAAGTTACAAAATGAATAACTAATATAGTCACTAATATCGGATAGAATATTAGTGATATCTATGAAATCAAAATTTTTTGAAATAAAATTATTTTACCGAATGTCATTTCTTATACCCATATAAAATATAACAAATAAGTACAAATTTTGTAATTTTTTCAATTTAAATTACTGAAAAAGAATCATGGACTATATTTTTTAGTCTTCAATAATTTTTTTTGATAAAAACACTTTTCAGTTGAAAATATATTTCGTACTGAATATTTTACTAATTTACTAGTAAAATTTAAATTTATAAAGGTAATTATTTTTTATTACGAATAAAATTAAAATTTTTCATCGTTACATATTAAATTTAAAAATATGAAAAACTTAAAATCAAAAATTCACTCCTTATAAGAAAAATTTAAAAAATTTTAATAGAAGAAATTAGTTCAATTTTTTCTAAATTATTAAGGCAAGGAGTAATTTTTATAAAAATAATTCATAAATCGAAACATGTCTTTATTACATTAATATACTTATTGCATGTTTCGATGTCGATTTTTTTATTATTTAAAAATTGCTTAAATTTTTAAAAATTGAAAAATCTTCACTTCTGAATAAGCCATAAAATTTTGATATAAATATATAGATTCCTTTATTTAGATATGTTTCTTATTGATAGATTCCTAATGCCAATATCTTAAGGGATTTTTTGTATCCTTGAAAACTTTATATTCAAAAAATGTATAAATTTAAAAAAATTGATGATATATGTGAAATTTTCTATTAAAAAAAATATATATTAAGAGCTAAAATATTTTTATGACGTATGTGATGAAAGTAGATATAAAAATTAAACTATCTAATAATTTCAAAATTGTAAAAAGTATCGATATTGTAATTTTTTCCCATGCGTTGGCACTTCACAGCTTATATGCCTAGACTTTTCAATGGAAATTCCTTCATTGCTCTTTCGTGTGTCCGAAAAGTCTACCTCGGACCCTTTCCCGTTCACTGATCTCCCAAGATGTCTCTAGGCGAATGACAGATCCACGGTTAACCGTGTGAATGTGCTAACGCGCACGAATACACGCTGTCAAGCTCTCAGTCTGCGGCTGAAAAATGACTCCGACAGGTGAGTGGAACATTGTCGAGTCCTAGATGGCTCAAAGGTATGAGAAACTGATTAATCCAAAACAAAATCTTTCACCTTCTTATTGGACCGTTGGCTGTCCAAACCGTACGTGCAAGATTTCCTCGCATACGAACAAGCATAGTTAGGCTTTACCCTGAACCCCTAAACTCCAATTATTTCGAGATAGTTGCCTGCCCTCTCCCGGTAGGCTCTATACTCTACCTCAATAGATTTCGCGGCGTACCAGCTACAGAGAGCTATAGGTTTCAACGCAGGTTACCATTATATCCACATGTTGCAATAATGCTTGGACTTCCTTTTCAATATATTTTTTAAAATTGAATTTATTCAAGGAGTTGCTAGTTATCACTTAGTTAATTTTAATTATCCATCATTTACAATCTTGTGTGGTCCAGCGGTCAAATATAAATAAAGATCGGCTTGCATATATCTGACGTAATTATTTTTGAAATAAATTTTGGATGTTTTATGTCATTACAATAATATTTCATTCTATAATAATGTCATAACAATTTTGTTAATCGTGAAAATTTTGTTGATTGAAAATAACCGCTGTATATTATATCCTGATTCTAAGATACAAGTTACCATTATACATTCATAGGTCAATACCTTTGCATAGGTCTCCTAGGATACCAACAAGAGAGTGTCTTGTTGTATCCTAGGAGACTGACTGTGATTAGCGAGAGTTTCAACATCATGTTAAGGTAAATTTAACTTGTACCTTCCATACAAGTTGAACTTGTATTTATTATTACTAATATTTATAGTGTGAAGTATAATTAAGAATAAAGAATGATAACTAGCCCTTCATTTAATTTATTGTATCTCTTAGAATTTAGGCTCATCTTAATTTGCGACAATTAAATCATTAGCATGAGTTTGTTGGCCACGATTTAAGCACAAAACGGAGGGAGGTTTTTTTACAAGCCGTTGTTTCCCATATGGCTTGTCCAAAACGGTGAGCTCCTCGGCGGAAGGGCTTGGATCCTTCTATTGAAGTGTCGACGAGTTCTGTTGAACAGCCCAAGAAATAGGAGAACTCTTGTTTAAAGTAGTTGACGTTATAATACCAGTACAAAGAGAAATACAATATAGTCCCACTTAAAAAGCACAAGGAATTCTATGAATCAAAAAAATTCTATAATCATGAACATTTAAAAAGAATCTCTTTATACACATGTATTTAGATAATTACTCGGAAGCATTTAAAAAAATTGAACTATTCCAGAAAATAAACTTTTTTACCAAAATAAAATTTTTAGAAATTTTACAATCGTTTAAAAACTATTACAAGTGCAAGATAATTGAACATATTCATTCAGACTTTGTAATTGAATTATTTCTAAGCACTGCTTTTTTTTTCAAGAAGTAACACAAAGATACTAAAGCACTAAATAACTATCTATAATTAAGTTGTGATTCATTTCATAAAAAATTAGGTCGATGGAGGATAATATAATAGTTTTTTCTTAATGAAGCTTCATGTGTTATAGTGAGCTAAACTCCTGTAAAGCCAAAGAGGTCTCCTTCGGACCTTGGGACATCATATTTTGTATATAATTTGCTAATCAAGTAAATCTAACTGATTTAATTATGTTGATGTAATTGACAACCAGTTGCACTATCAAATTATTATCACTTGTTAAGAAATCGATCGCATATTGCAAATCTGGAAGATATCGGTTTAGAGTCCCGGATTCGGTTTTGTACACTTCGATTTTAAATGACCTTAAATGTTGTTCAATTAAGTCCAGCTACTAAGCTACGGATGAATGAGGACATCTACTTTGCTGCAAAAGACAAGTTACTTCCAATGCATAACAGGTAGGAGAGTCTAGTAATATTTGAAGTATTTGGACGGTACCTTTGAACGAGTGAAATTTACCTTTCATTATATTTTTCGGGAACCAAATAAATTAGCAATAATTACGGTAAGGTCAGATCAAAAGTTTCAAAAACTTTTTGTTAAATGATACTATGACCACAGCAGGCACACTGTGAAACATGTCCTAGGTTACATATACAAACAATCTGAATCCAACGTAGCATTTATAAATTTACTAACCTGAATTGCTTTGATCTGTTGCTATAGATAGTCTCCATAATTGATTCTCTCCAAAACTTTTGTTTTCATGTTGCCGATGAAGAAAAAGGAAAGAAGCACTGCAGATACGGAAGTATAACATGCATACATGCGAATGGAGAATCTCTGTACGTACGTCATCACTTCCTGGAGCCTTGAGGAAAAGGGCAAGTACGACAGGAGGCAAGAACCCAGGGTCGGAGGTATCAACTTTCAATTGACGGAGGGAGTTCCCGTCTACCGGAAACTGGTTTGACTCCTCGCAAGAGGTTGGACTCCCAACGGAATTGGGAACGACGAAGGGCAGAGAAGGTCTTTGGTTTGGGAACGACGGGCGACGGGTCCTGCTTTTGTCGCGTGATTCTGGTTTCGCCATCTTTTGACTTACTGACAAGATGACCACTCCCAACAGTGTTCTCGGCGTACAACGCAGTTCTGACTGCACAGTGTCAGCACGCGGAATCCGCGGCCTCTGTGGAACACAACAGTTGACCCTTTCGGAATCGGCCCCGACTCCGAGCGAGCGTTCCATGCCTGCGAGCGACCATGAAGAATGGATGCCCTGCGGCTCGTCTCTACATAACCAGTTCGTCGTGTCTCCTCGTTTCCTATCACTGCAACCAGTTACAGCAGCTTCAAATTTCCAGCTCCTCTCACTTCTCCTCCAGCTCTTCGTCACCAGTGAATCTGTCTGAGATAGATCCGCTCACCGATCAATTCTAGAGACGGCCGTCGAGTACCCGATCCAAGACTTTCAGCAGCTCTTGTGTGTTTCACCTCTTTCCAATGGCCAGTTACAATGACGTTTTCGGCGACGACGATTGTCCTTCGTGGCTCACAGCCGGTAAAGAAGATGACTGCCAAAGTTGTCAATTTTCCCTCGTGATGGGGGTTCCAGTCAGCTTTGTGCGCACTTCGGAAGAATTTGGTCATCTGCAAGGGGGATATGTCTCCTTCGAGGCTTGCATGAAATCGGGGTTGCACTCGGCCTCCGAGAGTGGCTAGAGTAACGGAAGCGATGCATAATGTTCATAACTTCGAGTTCTCCGATCTTCGTAAAGCTTGTGCTGGACAGGGAGTGGCCGACGACAAGGATTCTCTACAATGTCATCGGCGATGCAATCCATGAGCGAAACTTGCATAACATTTCACGTTCGCTGTGAGGTGTTTCAACTGCTGACGCAGAACAGCAGGACAAATCTGCATTCGTTTCCGTGAGAAGATCTGCCCATGCTCCGAGTGCTCCATTGCGTCAAACTACAAACTCAGAGCATGAAATCGAGAGGGGTTCCGAATGATTCGGATCAAACCGGCACACGGGCTTACACGTTTGTATCTCTAAAATTCCGCGTTTACAGTATGACCACCAGTCGACCAGATTTCTGATCGTGCTAGCAGATATTTTCAGAGTGATACATACAACATCTGAAGGGACAATACGAGGATTGTACCGACAATAGACCCGGCAAATTGATGAATGTAGCAAGATAGGTTGATAAATCAACAATGTAGCATGCTGGGACTTGCAGTTGGTACATGAAGAAAAGCAGCTCTAAGTGCCGGAAGACCGTGAAACCGTGCGTGCTGCATCTGGAGTGTTTACTCTGTGCCGAATGGGTACAATATTCCCGAATCGTGACAAAAGAATGACATTTCTCGCTTTATCAAAGTACGAGAATATGATTAAATTGTCATTTAGAGCGACTCGTAGCCAGCACGCTCAAATGAATTATAAATGTCAAGAACCCTGGTGCTCGGCTGTGCACTGAGAGCTTTCAATTACAATTTTCTCATCAAAGGAAAAGATTGTTCACCTGGATAATTGGAACTCTTCTATATCGATATTATTCTTGCTTCTTGGTGTACGAGTGTCTTTGTTGTTCCAATTAAAGCATCTCCATAACAAATGCTGTTTGAAACACACAGGCTTTTCTCATGTACCTCGTCTTCTTCACATGAATCGTCGAGAATCCAGCACGATATGCCTTCGACGAATCGATCATTCCATGATGAATTTGCAATTTTGATCGTGCTTAATCCTGGCAGTGAGACATTTGCATACGAAAGTACCGGTATGCGACTCAGCAGCTCGAGAGGGGAGATTTGTTCAACAGTCAACGTTACACGCGTAATATTACCATACGCACTTGACGAGAATTATTCATCACGGAAGCTACATCTGCCCAATTGTAGACAATTCAGGACCTTAGCTGTCGTTTGAGATCTCTAGGACAACCCATATGAATTCAATCTGCACCAGAACCCGTAAGTCTGTCAGAACCTGACATTAGACTATGCAACGAAAGGAGATAAAGCTTGACTTTACATCTATGATGCGGTTTGACCAACATATGAGTTTATCTCTCGATGCTTTAGAGATTGGAGACAGCCTAAGTTAAATTTTCAGACGATAATAAAGGTCCAAGCTTAAGTCTCCATAACTTTGATTAAAGTTTCCTGACTAGTACTTTTCCCGATTTTCCGCATGTGATAGAAAAACCATTTGATTGATGTCTCCGGTATTCTAGCTACTTTCGACAAGAATCAGTCCATGTATTTCCGTGTCCCAAGACTATTTGACTGTCCTCCGCCGCCGACTTTTGTATCAGCTGAACGAGCCAGACTGATAGAAACAACAACTCTGCTGTTTTTTCAACGACTCTGCTTTTTTCGGAGAGACTGCGCAGGTACTCCACCGGTTGGTAGAACGTGACAATGATCACAGTGATCTTGTTCTTGGCTGTGGGTTCCTAATCAGCGCCCCAGGTGGACTTTTGTTCAAAGAAAGAACGCACTATGCTGAAACATCAGCCTTTATCATGAAATAGAGGCTTCACTTGAGCTGCAAGAGGTCAACTCACCGTCAGTTTTCAGCCATAGAAACATTGAGTTGAATCTCTCACACGAGAAGCTATCGGTTGTCAATAACTTCGCAAGTTTTTTATGGCAATGTTACGAACGGGAAGACAAATGCACGAGAAAGGACGAGCGAGAGGTGCTTGTGCATTACGAACTCAGAATTGACAATCGATACGTGTAACATACTAAGTCGGTTTCAGGACTCCTTGTATGGATCAGATCTACAGTTGTTCTAAATTAAGTGATGTGGCTCAGCACAGACCATAAAATCGGAAACCTTCATGATGATGATTTCTTTTGAAAGGCAAACGGCAGATTCTTACAGCTCTGGCAGTCAAACAGTATGACTAACGACAGGACTGCTCATTGACAAGATTATAATAGCAGATTCAAACAGAAAGTCTCTGAAGCATGCGAAGAAACATAACGACTCACAACGAGGACCAATTCCTACAATCAGAATTTCGGACCTGTTCTTAAGAACATTTATAAGGGAAGGTAATAAGTCTGCACTCGACAAAGTTTCCACAGTCTTACAAGCCACATGCTGTAGCTTTTGTAGCATAAGAGACAAGACAAAGAATAATTGCCAACAAAAATATCGAGAAATGATGAGTTCAGGTGCGAAGATTCAATGCAGAGGCAACGTAAGGGCGCGCGAAGGAAGGTGAGCAATATCTGAAAGTGTATGCGCTACAGACAATGTGGACATGTTCCGGCTTCCAATCCATGCAACTGACATGCCAGCCACTTGTGAGGAACGAATAGGACCAATGAAAAGGTAGAAATTTACAGTAGCCATCAAAATATAGATTTCAGGGAGGAAGGAAAGGGAATGAAAGGATGTGCCAAGCCACAAAGAAGCCTTCTGTTAATAACTTGCGGCACCTTTAACACAGGGTAAAATCTTCAGCACGAAATCAGTAAATGCGAAGGGTGATACGCTGATAACCAAAGGCTCATCCGGTGAGATGTGAACTCTCTCACCTATGTCCTGCGCTCTAGATCAAAGTTCACATGGACCCCGCACAAGCTCCACAATATACCAAGTCCCAATCAGGCAATCAATTTCACAACTAGGCATCATCTGGACGTCATTTTTCACTCTTGACTTGGCCTAATGTCCTTCATGTATATAAAATTCCCTCACCTGGTATAGTTCTAACTGGGGCTGACGTGATATTAAGCTCCGTGGACTTGTTATCAAATCACGAATTTGCCGTCACAAAGTTCGATTTAGAGCGCATAACATCACGTGAGAGAGAGTAGAATCTCTCAGATGTATATTTTGGTCATAGTCCGCATTCCCAGCAGGTATTGGAAGTTCATCGTAGGTACTTTTTTGCGTAGGTTGCATTCGGAATATCAATCAACTATATAAAGTGTCGACATCAGGGTTCATACAGAAAATGCTCCCACTCATTTGCGGCATAAAAATAAATGCTGCAGAGACTAATGTCGGAAGTTGTGGTGTTCATGGGAAGTCCATGTTCAAAGAAAGACATTCAGCTATGTATTTTTTATATATTTCTATAGATATCTCTATAAATTACATGGATAAAGTAGGATGGGTTTAGCTCCACAAACTTTATACATAGCCCCTATATAGGGCCTTCATAGACCCAGGCAGGTGTCATCCTGCACTGAGCCGTGACGTAAGTTCTTCTTTTCGTTGCGACTCTCCTCTTTTGGACCAAAGATGGAAGAATATGCGGACAGGCTAACAGGGCAAGTTTTTGATTTGCAGTCAGTTTTCAGGTGGAGCATCAAAGTGACTGAACTAGATCGCTCCGCTTTCCGGCGGACCGATCTAGCGATGGACTATAAGAACATATGGGCATCTATCCGCACTCAACTATGAGGGAATCCCTATTCTCACAACCTGGTCGACGTCATACTGACGACCATAGTTCCTCATAGCAGATTTGTTCAACCGATGCTTAAAACTGTATCGACCACCTTCAAAATGTTTCCCAACAGCTTAATCAAGGTATGAATTTATCCAGCATCCATGTATAACTCTCGCTCTTCGCGCAAAAGCTCAGTTTGATCCAAATTGTAATAAATGATTTATAAATATTTATTACATACTGGACCATCACTTGAATCCATGCTAACTGTATGCTAAAGCGTTTATAAGTTTTTGAACAGGTACCAACTTTGGGGAGGCCTTGTGCCACATACAAAGTAGATTCCAAGGTCAAGGGTAGCTCATGGAGTTTTCAATTGTGTCGTTACGAGTCGAGGTCACGATGTGAGATAGACTAGAAACCAGTCGTAAGTATACTTGACGACAAGAATCAGTTTTTGTGGCGTGACAAAGACAAGTTCTTGTTGTCTCATTGTAAAATAATATTAACAGCAGATTATGACAACCTCCACTGTGTTGCTTATAGTCAAAGTTTGCAGACGCTATAGAGTAATGAATTAGCTGTGTTTATCCTCATCTCTTCAAGGAGCTCGTTCAACGAAGCAATTGTACTCATGTTCATTATGATGATGATGATAAGTGCAGAACTGAGATCCTACTCAAGACAACTTTTTCCTGCTAATATCAATCATCGTTTGCTGAGGTTGTTCATTCACCACAAGGAAATGTGACTGCATCACCTATATTTACATCATTTGTGAAGTCACTAAGCGTACTTCCTGTGGTTTCTTTAGAAACCTGAATGTGATAGTTCTGAAATTAGCTTGTGCAATGGAGGGAGTCTGTTGCAGAGAAATCCCATTTTCACACAATCGGACTCTGCTGAGTTTGTTCTAGAGAATGTGGTTACGAGATACATTTATAGCAGAGCCGAGTCGAACCATCGTCAAGTCCATGTCACGTTTCCATCTAAGAAAGAAGAGATTACACGAACTTACATCATGTGTCTTTAGTTGACCCTACCTTAAAGAATTGATAATTTGTTGTCTCCATCGGCAATTGCCCTACGAATGTAAAAGCAAGGTATAGAGCATGTTCTTGTTTTCTACTTTCGTCATATGACACTGGGAATATCCATATTTTCAGGTGTGTTTGTGAAATAACGCCATAACTGCGTTCTAAATTACATGCACCAAGTTAGAAGAATCTGAACTTGGATTGAGAAATCCATTTTTCAACACGTAGGCATCATTATGATGATGATGATAAGTGTAGAACTGAGATCCTGCTCAAAATTGTGTCCATGCATTGATTCCATAGCGTTGTTGGTATCTTGATTGTTACAACATGTCTTCCTCTGTTCATCACGAATCCACTGACCTGAATTCCAAAACAGTAAGTTAGATGTACTTGTAAAAGAACATTAAGCAAAAAACAACTTCCAAAATGTAATAACTTCATATATAATGCACATGTTACAAACTTACACTTACCCATACAAGATTCCTATTCTGTTTGGAAGTACTTCACAAATTGTGGCTCAGAGAGCTGAAATTTTTTGTAAAATAACAGAATCTTCATCGCAACAGATCTTTCCACATCAAATTCTTCTCAATCAGCAGTCAATGTGCTTCCAAAGCACAGGTCTTCTAAAGCAGCATTCATAATAGCTCTCTTTTCATGACCACTCACAACCTCAATCAATTTCTTTGTCCATGTTTTTTGAACATGATATATGCAAAGAAATACAGGGATATGTGGAAAAACAATGTCTATGGCAAGTCTCTCATTGTCAGAACAATCCGTGATGAAGCACAAGGGCATCCATCCAGGGATATAATGTTGGGTCATGTTCTTCACTGCAGATAATAATTCCATCAGATCTTCTGTTTTTTCTCTTTTGAGGAATCCAAAAACAGTAGGATGTGTTCACATTCGTCAAACACCATCAAGGTGTACAGTGGATACTGCATTGCAAAAAATGAAATAAACGTATCAGTTTGCTGCTACCAATCGTCTACAAAGTATTCATCTTCATTGATACTAAGCTAAACCTGATACAAATGAATGATTCGCTATTTTTATGTCTTGATAAGCTAGACGTGATCAAGGTATATAAAACAACATATACAACACACATTGAGAAGTTCAATAATGTCTTACAAGACTGCTTAAAGCTTCAAACCATCATTTTTTCA